TTGTACATGCTTTTGAGGAATAAGCTATGCATTTGTAATTTGCACTGATGAATCTAGCACGACATCCAACAAATCCGAATTAAGAGTTACTTAAAAAATACTGAAGAAAAAGAGAAAGCCATCGTAGAAACTTGCTTTGAGTTCCGTCTTCATTTTAGGTTGATTGCAATCGATTTTTAAAGGATTAGGCCAGAAGGAGATAATGCACTTAATAAACAATGGAAGGGGTAACATTCACTTTATCTAAACATTAACGTTTAGGCCTACTGGTGTGTCGTTTTAATCAATAGATAATCTCTATGGCAACGATATTGGGACTGAGCTAGCAGTACGACGGTTCATTCACAGGGTGCTGTGTGCTAGGCCTGTTAATTAACAGGCAGCAATGATTATTGCATTATTTTTGTCTAGAAATTCTGCTTTCTAGGCATTAGGAATTCGGAGATTCCACTGTATGTCTTTTTTTGTAGTTTCATTTTAATCATCATCATAACATTAACACTGTTTAACATTTTATCAATAATTAGTCGTGAATTTGAACATCAGTACATAGGCTAGGCTTTCCAGCTTAATTGGGTGACTTGAAAAGCCATCCATCACTGCTATAACAGGTCAGCATGGGTTGATTTCATGGCCATAGCTTAAACTAAAAACTGCCGATGTTATAACCGATGTCAATTTTATACCGCCAGCGATTTTACTTTTTTTTTTGCCGACATACTTTTTTCCTAATTTTGAGGGCTGAATGTTGTATCAATTAAATGAATTCATAATGCTGTTTTATTAAAAAAAAACCTAGCTGATACAGTCTGTTAATAGACATGAATGCTGCAAAAATACTGTTCTTGTTTATTAATTGAATGCACAATGTTTGTTAGTCCTTAAATTGTGGTGTTTGGATGATCTGTTTTACAGATTTGTAATTCAGTGTTTCTTATCATGATGCTGTGAACAAAAAACCATAGCTGATACAGTATGTTAATAGACATAAATGCTGCAAAAATACTGTTCTTGTTTATTAATTGAACACACAATAGCTGTTAGTCCTTAAAAGTGTAGTGTTTGAATGGTGTTTTACAAATTTGTAATTTCGGTATTTCTTACGTTCGTGCAGGTGTGGCGTGAGTTCCCTGATCGATTGGTTGGTTATCCAGGTCGTCTGCATTTATGGGATGAGGGAACCGGCAAATGGAAATATAATTCGGAATGGACTAGCTCCATGTCCATGATTCTCTCTGGTGCTGCTTTCTATCATAAGGTGTGTATCAGAACTTCATTATATTTATCAATAAATAAGTACAGTAGTAAGATTTGAATACTGTAAATATTAAATGAATAAATAAAATAAACAATAGAGACGTGAGGAAAATTATAGTATTATATAATAAATTAAATACATGGTATTTTTAAGGTATTAAAACAAAATAGGAATATCATTACATTCAGTAAATACACTGATAAATATTTTATATTTATTAATAATAAATGATGAATATAATAAAATATGACCAAAATTTTAATATCATCTTGACCTAACTTCAATGGTCAAAACAATGAATAATTCAGTCATGTAATTGACAAGTTCTTACAGTAGTTTATAGTTTCTTACAGTAATTTATAGTTTATGTATTATATACAAGTAAATAATTCAAGATCTTCAGGAGGAGAGTGCTCAATACCATAGTAGAACTAGATGATTAATAGAGATGTAAACTTCATACTTTTATTCCACTACAAATTTGTTTTTGTAATAACAAAAATTGTATAACTGTAGTTGATTATTTTGTATTTTAGTTCTTCAACTTCCTGTACACCCATCAAATGCCCTCTGTCATTAAATCTTGGGTTGATGAAAATTTCAACTGTGAAGACATTGCAATGAACTTCCTTATCAGTAATATAACGGGCAAACCACCGATGAAGGTCACCCCTAAGAAGAAATTCAAATGCCCAGAATGCATCAACAACGAAAACCTATCAGCTGATCCAAAGCACATGGAAGCAAGGTCCGAATGCATTTCAGATTTTTCCAAGATTTACGGAATTATGCCATTGAAAAGTGTTGAATATCGAGCTGATCCTGTCCTGCACTTAGACACCTTGCCACAGGAGTTGAAACGATTTAAGGACGTTGGTGATATTTAATGTAATTTAATGCATTATTTTGTACAGATTTTTGTAATATAGTACTATTTATATGAAATATTGATCAATTCAGTAGCATTTTTTATATATTGTAATAGAACTTAATTGTAATACTGTTATTAGAGATCATCTTTGGTATTTGTTGGATAAAATAATGCTGCAGCAGTGGTGTTGTAGCCTGGTGGTTAAGAAGCTTGCTTTCCAATAATTAAGTCTTATGAATAAAACAACTCAGTTTATGAATTATTACATGATGTTAAAGTCTGAATATATAACACATTGTGGTCACAGATTGTTTTAAAATAGTGGTGGGCATAAAATGGGTCAGAGGCCAAAGTGAATTTTAGATTTAACACCAAATAAATACAGTATAAAAAAGAGGGCTGTGTTGTAGTAGCAGGCACCACTTCTTTTTACATGTATCCTATTGTACATGTATCCTGCAATACCATAGCATACATTCCTGCAAGCTTTACAATAATGAATGTACTTATTATTCCTCTTCAAATACATAGTAGGTTCAGACCGGAGTCACTTTTTGAACATAATACCCGATTCACACGTGAAGTTAAATTTAACAAAAAGTAACAAATTGTAACCGAGCCATCTCCCGAGTTATTCCTACCGAGATATAAAGCATTCACACGCATTTGTAAGGTAATGCCAAGGTCGTGTAAAATTTATTCAGTGTTTATTCAATGAATCATTTTTTCCCCCTACTGCAATATAGGCCTAGCCTAGTTGAGAACCCCTGTCACAGATGGAC